AAAGATTAAAATAATGGATCTTTACAATCCCTGTGACAGCACTCTCTACACCACCATTTATACTATGAAGGCCACAGAGTACATTTAGTTTCCTTTTTTCTCTCCCACTATTGCCTTCATCAAAATACAGTGAATAGTCCTCCACCTTGAGTCTTTCCTATGAACTATATTCATAATTTGCAGGCTCTTATATTTATTTTCAGAGGAACTATTTTTTTTTCTTTTTGGACGGAGTCTGGCTGTCTTGCCTAGGCTGGAATGCAGTGGCATGACCTCAGCTCACTACAACCTCCGCCTCCTGGGTTCAAGCGATTCTTGTGCCCCACCCTCTTGAGTAGCTGGGATTACAGGCACCCACCACCATGCCCGGATAATTTTTATATTTTTAGTAGAGACGGGGTTTTACCATGTTGGCCAGGCTGGTTTCAAACTCCTGGCCTCAAGTGATCTACCCACCTCGGCATGACAAAGTACTGGGATTACAGGCATGAGCCACCGCCCTGGCCCAAAGGAACTATTGATATAATGGAAAAATAGTTCCTCTGAAGATAAAAATAACAGCATTGGCTCCTAATAAAACATTCTGAAAAAAAGAAGCTGTTGAAATATTGGAATAATGTGGGGAGTAGGAAGGTGGGGTAGGGCGGGGAAGGGAGGTTATTTTTGGAGCAGGGGTCGGGATTAGGGGACATATGAAAGGAGAGCAGCAAAGATCCAGAATCAGACTGCTGTCAGCACTTTCCATCTCTATGGAGTCTGCCTGGTTTTGCTCACCATTGTATCTCTAGCAGCTAGCATAGTGCCCGGCACATGATGGGCATTCAGTAAATGTTTGTTGAATAGATAAGTACCTTTTTTTTTTTTTTTTTTTGAGACGAAGTCTTGCTTTGCCACCCAGCCTGGAATGCTGTGGCACGATCTCTGCTCACTGCAACCTTCGACTCCCGGGTTCCAGTGCTTCTCCTGCCTCAGCCTCCCGAGTAGCTGGGATTATAGACGTGCGACACCACGCCCAGCTAATTTTTGTGTTTTTGGTAGAGACGGGGTTTTGCCATGTTGGCCAAGCTGGCCTCAAGCTCTGACCTCAAGTGATCCGCCCACCTCAGCCTCCCAAAGTGCTGGGATTACAGGCGTGAGCCACTGCACCCAGCTGATAAGTACCATTTTTACTTCCTGCCCAAAGATTTAGCACTCAGAGCTGTACTGTGATAATTATTGTCTGAATTTCCTCTTAAAAGAAAAAAAGATGTTATTAAATTTTGTTTGCTTTTGAGACCTTAGGTTCGAAAAGTCGTTTTGCTATCCATCATTCAGAGGAAAAATTGAGTTCTGTTACCCCAAAGAGGGATGTTTTTGTCTGTGCTAAGTGTGTTTGGTCACCTTTTTTTTTTTTTTAAGACAGCGTTTCACCATGTTGGTCAGGCTGGTCTCAAGCATCTGACCTCAGGTGATCCACCTGCCTCAGCCTCCCAAAGTGCTGGGATTACAGGCGTGAGCCACTGCGCCCAGCCTGGTTGGTCACCTTCTAAAACAGAAATAGAATTTACTAAAGAAAGAAGTGTTTTCTCATCTGCAGCGTGCAAGTAACATTGGGTACTTTGACTTCTCTTTTGTATAGTATTTTATGCATAGTTTTCTTATGCCTTTTATAAATAAAAGTTAGGCTAAAGCAGTTAGAAAGTATAGTAAACCATCCAGTGACAAAGTGATTTTTTTTTTTTTGAGACAGTGTCATATTCCGTTACCTAGACTGGAATGCAGTGGCACAATTTTGGCTAACTGCAGCCTCAACCTTCGGGCTCAGGCAATCCTCCCACCTCAGCCCCCTGAGTAGCTGGGACTACAGGAGTGTGCCACCATGCCTGGGTAATTGTTGTATTTTTTTGTAGAGACAGGATTTCACCATGTTACCCAGACTGGTCTGGAATTGCTGAGCTCAAGTGATCTGCCCAACCACCTCAGCCTCCTAAAGTGCTAGGATTACAGGTGTGGGCCACCCAGCCTGACAAAGTGATTTTTACTTTTAAAATGAGAACAATTTCTGACGGTTATGTTGGTAAATTGATGTTTTTGGTGTGGGGGAGGGGAGGGTTGCAAGGAACCCCTGCAGGGGATTGTTTAAGGTGTACCAGATATGATGTATTTAATGGGCAAGAATCCTTTACATTGGTACTTTATCAGAAAAAGTATAGTAGTACCTAGAGTAATATCACCCAAGAATGGTCTGTGATGATGGAAATACTGTGTATCTGCCCTGTGTGATATGTCTAACTACATTGGCCAGTGAACACTTGAAATGTGGCTAGTGCAGCCGAAAAGCTAAATTTTTAATCTTATTTAATAGTTTTTTTTTTTAAATAATCATCCAGTAAAATTGACTTTTTTGACTATATAGTTTTATGAACTTTTTTTTAGTTTTGTGAATGTTAACACATGTATAGATTTAACAGCACCACAACCAGGACATGGCACAGTCCTGCTATCCCAAAAAACTCCCTCTTGCTGCCATTTCCCCTACCTCTTACCCCTGGAAACCACTGCTCTGTTCTTCATCTTCCCCTTCAGTTGGAAAGTTTAAATTATTTAAAGAGTTATTTTCTTAATCATAAAATCACCTCAGGGGAGTGACATTAAAGTTTAAAAGAGGCCCTCTTTAAAAACACAAGGACACAAAAGTCTTCATCTGATGGTGGCTACTGTTACATTGCATCTCTTTCAAAAGTGTATGTCTCAACTCCATGTGGTTTCACTATTCTGCGTTTTTTTTTTTTCATGGAAAATGTTATATAGTATAATTCAAAACCAAATATAAATTATTTCTCCACTTCTGTTTTGGATCATTTATGCTATAGTGGTCTCTTCCATCCCTAAGAACAAACTAGCCAACTAGAATTATCAGAGTCTTAGAAACTTTCCATGCCACGGGTATATTTAATATTTTCACCCAAAGACATAGTCATCAATTATCAAGCTAAAGGAAGAAATAAAAATGTGTTCATTAAAATAAGTGAAAGATATAACTAACTATTGTACTAACTATTATAGACAATTTAAAGAGAGACTTTCTACTCTGAATTACTTTTAATTATATTTTTGAGTTTTTATTTTGTGGAACAAAGCTTTTCACTGGAAATTAGTACACCCATATTTAACTGGTTTTTGAATATTAATATCCTACTGCTATCTCAAAATCAATAGGTCCAGTGCTAAATTAATCATCTCCACTTTCCCTCCACTTTAACCTCTTAATTTCCTCCTCTTTTTCTGATATCAGTTAATGGCACCACCATCTATCTATCCACTGGCCCAAGCCAGATACCTTTAAGTTACCCTAGTCACCTCCTTTACTCTACATGTCTTGTTAGGAGGTCCTACCCTTCTAAATATATCTTGGAGCTGCCTCTTTTCTCTTTGCCCCCAATATTAATGCCTTAATTCAGACCCTCTATTGTATTACTGTTACAATTGCAGTAGCCTCCTAGCTGATAGCCCTTCCTCCTATATCACTCCACCCTACTCCACTATCATATTCCACACTGCCTCCAAAATGATCCTTCTCTAAAATGAAAATTTAATCTGCTGAACTTTTTTATGGCTTTCTATTACCTATAGGATAAATTATAAACCATTATTGGTGTATAGAACCCCATAATAGGACAGTTGCCTAATTCTCAAGCCTCTTATCTTTCTCTGTTTTTTGCTTCCATTTGTCTGGAATTCCCTGCCTCATATATCCTTGCTGATTCCTGTTTGTCCTTTAACACTCAGGTACTATCTCTTCTAAGAAGACCTTTCTGACCCATATTCCCAAGGATGAATGGGTATCCCTTTTCTGTATTCTCTGTCCTATTGTTCCTGTGACATGTGCAGCTTTGTATCCTGAGAATTCCAGTTCCTGACACACATAATAAGTGCTCAATAAATATTAGTTGCTCTGTGGTTAACCTTATATAATTCACTACTGCTACAAAGAACTTTCCTATCTATTTACGCATATGACCCTTATAATAGCCCTGGAAGATAATAGGGCATATTTGCTCAGTTTTCAGATGGTAGAACTAATGAGTATAGTTGGCTAATAAGTGGAGTACTACTGTTGCAATTACAGTAGCCTCCTAGCTGAGAGCCCTGCCTCCTATATCACTCCACTCTATTCCACTATCATCTTCCACACTGCCTCCAAAATGATCCTTCTCTAAAATACCAACTCAGTATTTGTGCGTGTGCGTGTGTGTGTGTGTATCTTCATCACGAATCTTTGTAAGCTGTCAGCCAAAGAGATGCAGTCATGACAATAAGTTAAATTATATGCAGTAGCTAAGCTTTAAAAATATAATAGTTGTTTTATTATCTAATTAGGCAAAACAATAAAGATGTTCTTATTTTGAACAAAATTAATACTATGCTCTAGTGACTAAGGGGGATATAGGAGTATATGCTATAAAAACCTATGAATACTGCCTTCACTCATAAACTGGCATGTTTATACCTTTTCTTGTGAACAAAGTTATCCTAATTGGACATTATTTTTATTTTTTTAATTGATACATAATAGTTGTACATATTTTTAAGAAACTGAACATTTTAAAAGATTAAACTTCATATTACCTTTTATTTTTTTTGTAGCTGATTCTGTTTCATGTATAACATTTTCAACTGGTAGAGTGAGAATTGTTGGAGTAATTTATGAAAGGAGGTAGAAGGAAAGAGTAGTTTGTACTTTGTTGTGAAATTCTAGGGTGTGTTTGTCAATATACATGTTTCAAATACCTGATAGGTACCACAGTCACATATGTCTATGTATATAACTTTACCATTCTTGTAGGTACACAAGACATTTTATGTTTCTTTCTAACAAGAATAGTAAAGATGAAAACTAATAGGGAAACTCCATTAGATTGAGTTGTCTTACTCTTCTTAAATGCGGTGTGATGATTGATATTTTAAATCCTATGTCATAGAATTTAATTAAACTGACTTTTAGAATTTCTTTCCAAAAGGTATCACTGGAAGAAAAAAATGCAACTATTATTTATGACCCTAAACTACAGACTCCAAAGACCCTGCAGGAAGCTATTGATGACATGGGCTTTGATGCCATTCTCCATAATCCTGACCCTCTCCCTGTTTTAACTGACACCTTGTTTCTGACTGTTACTGCTTCACTGACTTTGCCATGGGACCGTATCCAAAGCACATTACTCAAGACCAAGGGTGTGACAGACATTAAAATTTACCCTCAGCAAAGAACTCTAGCAGTGACAATAATCCCTTCTGTAGTAAGTGCCAATCAGATAAGAGAGCTGGTTCCGGATCTCAGTTTAGATACTGGAACACTGGAGAAAAAGTCAGGAGCTTGTGAAGATCATAGTATGGCTCAAGTTGGTGAAGTCATGCTGAAGATGAAAGTGGAAGGGATGACCTGCCATTCATGTACTAGCACCATTGAAGGAAAAATTGGGAAACTGCAAGGTGTTCAGCGAATTAAAGGTAAATGTGTCTAGTGTTGTTTGATTGTTTTCTTAGATGTCTGTTTTGATCTTTTAACTTTTTGCTTTCTTCTTAAGCATGAGTTTTGAATCCATGAGACTAGAGTGCTTGCTGTTTCATTGAGGTACAGCATATTCCCAGGATTAATGTCATTAAAGTTAATGATTATAATTAAAGGTTACCTGAACCTTGAACTGAAGAAAAGGCAGTGGGGTTGACAATTCATGGCATTCAGGGTTCTTAACACAACATGATTAGGATACTCTTTACCTCTAATGTATTTCTACTAAGGCATGGAGAAACTTGGAGACCATAGCTACAGTGGTCATATCTCCTACTTGTTTCTAGTCTATGCCAATAATATTTTCTGGGAAAAAAAAAAGTTAAAAAAAGATGATGATGAGAATGAGAGAGAAACAATTATTTGTGGTTATTGATTTAGAAAACAAAATGTTTTCTGAAGTAGCCCTGGAATAACTGAATTAAATAATTGTTTCCTTTTATTAACTAGTCTCCCTGGACAATCAAGAAGCTACTATTGTTTATCAACCTCATCTTATCTCAGTAGAGGAAATGAAAAAGCAGATTGAAGCTATGGGCTTTCCAGCATTCGTCAAAAAGCAGCCCAAGTACCTCAGATTGGGAGCTATTGATGTACAGCGTCTAAAAAACACACCAGTTAAATCTTCAGAAGGATCACAGCAAAGGAGTCCATCATATACAAATGATTCAACAGCCACTTTCATCATTGATGGCATGCATTGTAAATCATGTGTGTCAAATATTGAAAGTGCTTTATCTACACTCCAGTATGTAAGCAGCATAGTAGTTTCTTTAGAGAATAGGTCTGCCATTGTAAAGTATAATGCAAGCTCAATCACTCCAGAATGCCTGAGAAAAGCAATAGAGGACGTATCACCAGGGCAATATAGAGTTAGTATCTCAAGTGAATTTGAGAGTACCTCAAACTCTCCCTCCAGCTCATCTCTTCAGAAGATTCCTTTGAATGTAGTTAGCCAGCCTCTGACACAAGAAACTGTGATAAACATTGATGGCATGACTTGTAATTCCTGTGTGCAGTCTATTGAGGGTGTCATATCAAAAAAGCCAGGTGTAAAATACATACGAGTCTCCCTTGCAAATAGCAATGGGACTGTTGAGTATGATCCTCTACTAACCTCTCCAGAAACCTTGAGAGAAGCAATAGAAGACATGGGATTTGATGCTACCTTGTCAGGTAATTATAATTTTTTCTTTGATTCCCCTAGTGTTCTTTTATTTCCATTTTGCTGCTTCTTTTAGCATTTATTGATGAGAAATCATTCCTGGGCACTGTAATTCCACTTTTGCAAATAAATCCTATGGAGGTAGCCAGCAGTGTATGCAAAGATGCATAAGGATGTTTGTATAATTGCTCATAATATTTAAAAACTAGAGACAATAAATAACTTGTGGTACAACAATAAATAACTAATGATGAAGTGCTATGAAGCCACGAAACATCATGGTATTAAAGATAATTAACGCCACAGGAAAGTGTCTGAGATATTTTGTTAAATTAAAAAAAAAACTGAAAAGCTATATATACACTGTGATGAAAATTTTATTAAAAAATGTACCTGAATTAATACCATGTATATATTGTTATGTGTATGAATAAGATTCCTGGTAGGACATGAACCATAATTTTAACAGTGATTATCTTTGGGTGGTAGGATAAATGTGATTTTTGTTTCCGTTGTGCTTTCCTGGTTTTATAAGTTGTTTTTACAACAAGAATGTATGTATGTAGCCATGTATTTATATAATGGGTAAAGCCAGTGCTCTTTTAAAAAGAAAAGTAGTTGAAATAAATAATAGGATTAACTGTAGTTTTATATTTAGGCATTCAAATTAAACTGACTTCAGAGCTGTCCCAAAGTTTTCGTATTTCCTGACAGCTCTTACTTTTGAACTGAAACAAAAAATGTATATCCAATAGAATTTAATTATGTGAAATTTTTCTTTTGAACCAGAATTAAACCTGGCCTTGAATTAAACTGAAAAATGCCCAAATGAAATTTTTGCTTGAAATAACAATTGAAAAGTTATACAACCAATTTCCAGACAATATAATTAATCTTTGCTATCCTGATTAGAATGAAAGATATCAAATAGTAATATTCCTTTTTTAGGCTCACTAAAACTGAGTAAAACATTTAACATATCTCCAAATTGGTATGGTCGATTAATGTGAGAGAGGACTCAGAAACATACCATTATTAATTTTTAGTTCTTAATTTTAGTATCGATGACAAATGGTAGAAATGATAGAATTCTCACTTTTAAAATTGACACATAGTTCACATACCATAAAATTTGCCCATTTAAGGTACACAATCCAGTGGTTGTTAGTATACTTACATAGTTTTCCAGCCATCATCACTATATAATTTTTGATCATTTCATCACTCCCAAAAGAAATCACATATCCATTGGCAGTCATTGCTAATTTCTCCTTCCCTTCCCCAAGCTCCTGATAACCACTGTTCTACTTTCTGTCTCTGAATTTCATTATTCTAGGTACCTCATTTAATTGGAATCATATAACATTTGTCCTTTTGTGCCTGGATTATTTTATTTACCATAATGTTTTCAAGGTCCATCCATGTTGTAGTATATATTAGAACATCATTCCTTTTTATTGCTGAATATTTTTCCAGTCTATGGATATATCACATTTTTGTTTCTTCATTCACCAGTTGATGAGAATTTGGATCGTCTCCACTCTCTGCCTATTATGTATAATACTGCTAGGAACATTTGTGTGTAAGTTTTTATATGAACATATGTTTTTATTTCTCCTGGGCATATAACTAGGAGTGGAATTGCTGGGTCATATGGCAATTAAACTTTTTGAGGGACTGCTGTACTGTTTTTCAAAGTAGCTGTACCATTTTACATTCCCACCTCAAATTCTCACTTTAATGTAGAAAATCACAAAATCTTAATCTTTTGAGATTTTAGATTAGAATCTGGCCAGCTACGGTGACTCATACCTATAATCCTAGCACTTTTGGAGGCTGAGGCAGGCAGACCACTTGAGCCCAAAAGTTCGAGACCAGCCTGGGTAAATGACTAAACCCAGTCCCTACAAAAAATACAAAAAAATCAGCTGGGCATGGTGACATACACCTGTAGTTCTAGTTACTCAGGAGGCAAAGCTGAGAAGATCACTATAGCCTGGAAGTCAAGGCTGCAGTGAGCCGTGAGCTTGCCATTGTACTCCAGCCTAAAAAAATTAGATTTTAGATTAGAATCTAATCTAAAAAATTAGATTCTTTTGCTCCAAAAAAGCGATACATCATTCTCTATTAGAAAATTTTTATACAGAACACTAAAATGTTAAAGAGCCTCTAGTACCAAAAGTCTGAACAAAGTATATGAAATCAATAATTGCAAAAGGAAATAATTATGAAACCAGAAGAAAAATTTAAGTTGGAAATAAGTACAGTTATATCAAGGATCCATAAAAATGACTAAAATTAGTTTCAGCAAAATTTCGTTTTACCTATCACCACTAAATTGTTTTTGTTTTGTTTTGTTTTGTTTTGTTTTGTTTTGAGAGGGAGTCTTGCTGTGTCACCCATGCTAGAGTACAATGGTGTGATCTCGGCTCACTGCAACATCCACCTCTCAGGTCCAAGTGATTCTCCTGCCTCAGCCTCCTGAGTAGCTGGGATTACAGGCTCACGCCACCATGCTCAGCTAATTTTTTTTTGTGTTTTTAGTAGAGACGGGTTTCACCATGTTGGTGAGGCCGGTTTGGAACTCCTGACCTCAGGTGATCCACCCGCCTCTGCCTCACAGAGTGCTGGGATTATAGGCATGAGTCACCGTATCTGGCCCAGTTAATTTTTTTTTTTTTTTAATTTTCAAAATAACAGTGTTGAAAATATATTGATTCACATTTCACTAAATCGTAATGTTGGGTTATTTCTGAGTTTCTATTAAAATACTTTGACATGTATAATGGATTATGTTGTAAATGATGAATACCACATAAATTAGTTTTTATCAGTATCACTAAAACAAGTTACTTACATTATAATATTCCTATGCCTCTTAAATATAGGAACTCGAATATCATCATCTTATATCACATGTGGTATAAAACTGAAATATTTTTCATGTTCAAATGTGGTATCTGTTATTACAGTAAGCAAGGGCATCATAAACTTTCAGATTGAACTCAAAAACCGAATTTTTTCTATTCATTTGGGTTTATATTTTTGCAACTTTCATTTTTGCAAGTGTGGTTCACAAACAAGCAGTACCTGGGACTTTGTTATAAATGAGACTCTGGCCCACTGCAGACCCAGTAAATCAAATTCTACATTTTAATTTTAATGAGCTCTCCAGGTAATTCATTTGCACATTAAAGTTTGAGAACACTGATCTGGATAATGTGATCCATTGACCTTTGAAATCTCTAAATTAAATCTGTATTAACCTTGTTTACACAAAGAAGTCCAGAAGTTTGAATAACATTTTGATCAACAATGGACCACATAGACGATGGTGGTCCCATAAGATTATAATGGAGCATATATAGAAACCTCATATAAGGCATTTGATATTGGCATAGCAGATCAAATAGGAGAAATGTTTTATATTCATTAGCTAGGACATTTGGTGTTCTATCTGAAAAATATGTATAAATAAAAATATACATAGCATCTAGGTTTGAATAAGTACACTCTATGATGGTCACACAGTGATGAAATTGTCTAAAGCATTTTTCAGTACATATTCCCATTATTTAAGTGAGTCATAACTGTATAGTATTAAATAATATAATTTAAAATAGTGGGTTTTTTTTTTTTTAGGAGAAAAGGCATATAAATTTATTTGATCATAGTTTTACATGACACAAGAGCCTTCAGAATGAAGACCCAAAGATACAGGAGAAACTGCCCATTTCTGTGCTTAGATTTAACACAATATGGATAGCTAAAATAGCTAGCATTTTATTATTATTATTGGAATCAGAGTCACACTTTGTTGCCCAGGCTGCAGTGCAATGGTGTGATCTCGGCTCACTGCAAACTCCACCTCCCAAGTTCAAGTGATTCTCCTGCCGCAGTCTCCCAAGTTGCTGGGATTACAGGCATGTGCCAGCATTCCTGGCTAATTTTTGTATTTTTAGTAGAGGCAAGGTGTCTCCATGTTGGCCAGGCTGGTCTTGAACTCCTGATCTCAGGTGATCCACCTACTTCGGCCTCCCAAAGTGCTGGGATTACAGGTGTGAGCCACCATGCCCAGACAAAATAGCTAGCATTTTGTAAGGGTTTATGTAACAAATATGAGCAGAGCAAAAGCAACTTTTCAATTACCTTAGGTGATCAAACCAGAAAATGGAATTCAAGAGTACTTGGTCAGTCTCTGGCACCATGTATAGCATCTACCTAGTTCTTAGGAACTATGACTGCAGCACACTCAGTAACTTTTTTTTGAGACCGGATCTTGCTCTGTTGCCCAGGCTGGAGTGCACAGACACAATCATGGCTCACTGCAGCCTTGACTTCTGGGGCTTAAGCGATCTTCCCACCTCAGCCTCCTGAGTAGCTGGGACTACAGGCATGTACCACCACACCCGGCTAATTTTTTTCTGTTCTTTGTAGAGATGGAGTCTAACTATGTTGCCTAGGCTGGTCTCAAACTCCTGGGCTCAAGCAGTCCACCCACCTTGGCCTCCCAAGGTGCTGGGATTATTGGTGTGAGCAACCATGCCTGGCCTCAGTAACTTTTAACAATGTCTTTTACCTCAACCTACTATTGTTAAGGGCCCCGAGAATCAATTATTCCACAAATGATTATCAGGAGCCAGTTATATGCCCTGAATCTGTCAGGGCTTATAACATACATACTAATGGCCATGATGGGTAGGTAAAAAACCTTGGCATAGTGAATGTCACCATAAAAGAATTGATAATAGTTTAACTACAGTGACCCATGTTTTGGGACAAGAGGTTGATATGAAATGACTGCATTCTGTGATTCTGCTAGAGATCAGAGTTTTAGATGTCTCCAGAATTGTAACTATGCATTTTCTAAGTGTAAGTGTCAGTGCGATCCAGGTCTCACAGCCTCCTACCTCTGCGACCCATTCTCAGACAGAAGGATGGACACATTTTGCCTTTGTATCATACTAGTCCTAGATGAGCTATAAATCTTAAAAGAGATAGTAAAAGGCCAGGTGCAGTGGCTCATGCCTGTAATCCCAGCACTTTGGGAGGCTGAGGCAGGTGGATCACCTGAGGTCAGGAGTTCAAGACCATCCTGGCCAACATGGTGAAATCCTGTCTCTACTAAAAATACAAAAATTAGCCAAGTGTGGTGGCGGGCACCTGTAATCCCAGCTACCCAGGAGACTGAGGCAGGGGCAATGCTTGAACCTGGGAGGCATAGGTTGCAGTGAGCTGAGATCATGCCGTTGCACTCCAGCCTGGGTGACAAGAGCAAGACTCCATCTCAAAAAAAAAGGCAGTGAGAAAAATTGGAGATGCCTTTTATCCTCTTTATATCATCATTTCCTTAAAGTAAAAAGATATAATATTTGAAGTAATCACTAATCAAAGCAAACTAAATACTTGATTAAATTCCTTCCTTTTTGTGTCTTTTTATTATTTAATTTCAAACTTACAAAAAACTGCAAGAAATAGAGAATTCCTGTTTACCAATTTCATGCAGATTCCACAGTTAATATTTTACATTGTTTATCATTCTCAACAGATATACATTTATATATACACATACATACATTTTTTCTGAACTATTTGAGAGTAAGCTGTGGACATGATGTTTATAATTATTTTAAAGCCACTTTAGATTATTTATTTATTCTTCACATTACACCAGAGGCTGAATCTCACATCAGTTTTGAGTATCAGATTGGAAGTCCTTTCTTGAAAAATTTGAGTCAGTTTGTAATTGTTGTCTCAAGTGCAGGAAAGTCAACTTTCCTTTGAATTTCTTTAGAAGTGTAAGTAATGCTGTCACAGCCGGTAGAAAAATTCGTTAAAAGAAACCAGCCATTTTATTTATTGTTACCTTGTAACACCCTTACTGTCTCTGTGGCGGAGGGAGAAGCCTTTGCTCTTTTTTTTTTTTTTTTAATATGTAATTTAGAAGAGAGAAACAGGAGAAGGAGAAAGAAACAGTTAACTCTCACACTGAGTGAGAGAATCCAGAAAGGTGGAATCCAGGAGAGGAAAGCAGCTTCCACATTGAGTAGAAGGGAATAGAGAGTGATGAAGTTTAGGAGGGAACACAGGCTTCCACGAAGGGAGTGTTCATGGAAGGGGACTCCAGAGGGAAAATCCAGGAGAGAGAAAGATGGCTTCCATGAAGGGAGTGTTCGTGGAAGGGGATCCAAACATGGAGTCCCGCCTTTGCTCTTTTGCTTGCCACACACGCACAGAGGTAAAGGACATAATTTTATGGATCTTTGTTTAGAGGTCATGCTAAGGCAGCTAAAAGGGACTACCTCTATGACTTATAATACTGTACTTCCAGAGTGTGAAAATTGCAGCTGGTATTCCAGGTTACCTCTGGTACCTAAAATAATGAAAATGCTCTGGAACAACAGGTAAAGTGATTGGCAGAATAAGCTTTTTTTCATTGTTCAAGTTCATAATTAAGCCTCAATAGTAATTATGAGAGAATGAAGGAACCTTTTGGTTAGATTAAAATAATGGTTTTATTCAAAACCAAAGCGATTTCTTTTTGGCTACTGAACGTCCTTTTTGTTTTTTTTTGTTTTTTTTTTTTTTAAAAATGTAACAGCAGTACTATTTGGTAAATTTCACAGTCTGTGTTCTAAATAATGTTCTCACAATCTGAATCAGTATCTTTCTAAAGTGATTCCATTAAGACCAGAGACAGGCTAATTAAGGAACACTTTACCATTCAGAGTGTTCTTTGCTGGATCATCCAAAATCCAAACCTCAGTGTCATGTGGTATTTCCATGTGACAGACTTGTACATCTACCCCCTGAATCTAAAAATAAAAGTTGAAATTATTTTTTTTAAATTATCCTTTACTATACTCAGACCTAGGCTGGCAGTACTGCCATCACCTGAGAGCTTGGTGGAAATGTAGAATCTCAGATCCCATCTTAGATGTACTGAGTCAGAACCCGCATTTTAACAAGCTCCCGCAGGTGATTGTGTATGCATTCAGATTTAAGAGGCATTAATATACTTATTTGAGAAATCAACATCATTATTCTTGAGGGAAATGGTCAGGCTTTTGTTAAAATTTTTTCCAAACATGCTCTTCTTCACATCCTGAAAACCAACTCTTCTGTGCAGGGGTTCCTTTGTGTGTTACCTAAGTAGGCATGAACTGGTGTTTTGTCCAAGGACAAGAATGAACAAATTAGATAGGCTAGTGGGAATTTGCTCTTTTCCTCCTTTTCTCTATAATGGAAGAGAAAATTTTTGGCTTTTTTTTTTTTTTTTTTTTTTTTTCCAGATGCAGGGATGTGTTAGAATAATTTCTCCTTTCTTGGAAGGTAATTAATACTGCAGTGGATAAACTAAAACAAAATAGCAGATTTTCAGAGATTTCAAGGGAGCTTCTGGGATGATTTGAGCTTCTACAGTCCATAAAGATTCTATGAATACCATCATGCAAAATAGACTTTTTGCTGACTTATTCCTTGCCTCTTCTTCCACTGTCCATAAAGACATTTAAAAATATTATATATGTATGTTAAAAATTCAAACAATAGGGCCAGGTGTGGTGGCTCATGCCTATAATCCCAGCATTTTGGGAGGCCAAAGTGGACGGATCACAAGGTCAAGAGATGGATACCATCCTGGCCAACATATTGAAACTCCATCTCTACTAAAAATACAAAAATTGGCTGGGTGTGGTGGCGCACACCTGTAGTCCCAGCTACTTGGGAAGCAGAGGCAGGAGAATCGCTTGAACCCAGGAGGCGGAGGTTGCAGTGAGCCAAGATTGCACCACTGCACTCCAGCCTCGTGACAGAGCGAGACTCCATCACACACACACAAAATTCAAACAATATAGAAGTATAGTTAGAGGAAATTGATTCATCTGTCTATGATTGTATTCCTGCCTTAACCTTATTCTCCAGAAGTAGCCACTGTTAATAGTTTGGTATGTAACCCCCAGCCTTTCTTATGCATGTTCTCATCTATGCATACACTAAAATTAAAAATAGATATGTCAGCACACTGCAATGCTGTTTTTGCAAATTGCTTTTTGTTCCACTTAATATATTGTGAATTGCTTTGATGCCAGTAGGCCAATTATCAACATGATGGTAAAATTTCATTATAAAAATAAGAACTATCCATTAACAAACTACTCTCTCTCTCTGAGATTGGGAGTAGAGTTAATGGCTAGAAGAAACAAAGTTTTATTTATTCAGGTAACTCAGATTTTCCTAGAATGGGATGGGAAGTATTGAAATTGGAAGTCAAAAAAAAAAAAGAAAAAAGAAATTGGAAGTCACTGCAGAAGAAAGTATAGAGATAATGCTAAGGGATGGTAGGAAGTTGCTGGTTTTAAAGGAATAGATTATCAGTGCCTGGAGGTATGGATTATGATGCAAGACAAGGATGCTTTTGAAGAATGTTCAATACTGCATATGAAAAGAATCTTTCCCTTTCCACCAGACATGAATGAGCCGTTGGTAGTAATAGCTCAGCCTTCATCAGAAACGCTGCTTTTGACTTCAACTAATGAATTTTATGCTAAAGGGATGACACCAGTTCAAGACAAGGAGGAAGCAAAGACTTCATCTAAATGTTACATACAAGTCACTGGCATGACTTGCGCTTCTTGTGTAGCAAACATTGAACGGAATTTAAGGCGAGAAGAAGGTGAGATACTCTTGAAGCTTGTTATTTTATCTGCTAGTTTGGGAACTCCATCTTTTTTGTTCTTTTACATGTTTGGTAAGTATGTTTATGATTCTTGGTAAGGCCTCATAAAGATTTTCAGTAATGTGTGGGCCAACCCTGATGTCCTGGAAGCCAGTTTTTGTTAGTGTTTTGTTCCCTTAGATAAAGTTTCTATCTTGTTTACCTCATGGTCATATTTGTATATGTGTGAAATTTGTAAAAAGATGCAGAAGGAAATATACAAGATTACTATTTTTTATGGATCTTGGTTGTGTTAGAGTTTAAGGAACATAAATTTTCTTCTAAAGCTATGCCTAAAACTGACAATTATAATACCTAAGAGTTTCATTATTACTATACCCAGACCAAGCACCAGACCAAAAACAAGTTTGTTTAGAATTATATTGTTCTCTTTGCTTCTGGTAAAAATGTTCACAAATTACTTAATATTGTATACAAGTATTAATTTTAAGTTGCAAAATCTTAGAAAATCTGTGCCATAGTTTTTAAAATTCAGTTACACTCAGATGTTTTAGCTTATTAATTTGTGCTCATATTTATAGACTTCCCAGTATAGCACAGTAGATTTGTTAACCATGAAGATATGTGATGATGGCCGGGCTCAGTGACTCACACCTGTAATCCCAGCACTTTGGGAGGCCAAGAAAGACAGATTGCCTGAGGTCAAGAGTTCAAGACCAGCCTGGCCTACCTGGTGAAACCCTATCTCTACTAAAAATACAAAAATTAGCTGGTCTTGGAGGCGCATGCTTAGAATCCCAGCTACTCGAGAGGCTGAGGCAGCAGAGTTGCTTGAACCCGGGAGGTGGAAGTTGCAGTGAGCTGAGATTGTGCTAGCCACTGCACTCTAGCCTGTGCAACAGGACAAGACTCTATCCCCCAAAAAAAAAGATATGTGATGAAGTTTCATGAGATCAAAGTTATAGATTTGGTACTTAGGCTACCCTAGCCCTAGGTGTCTTAATGATGCATATGATTAGTCACAGATCTGAATAAAGAAGTATGGACTAGTGTGTAAACTTATCCCCACCATTAAGAAAATCACTCAAAATGTATGTAGTAATCACATCACCTCATATATTAATATTAAGGGCAGAACATCGTTATAACAAAATGTGTGGTATTCAGAGCCATCTTCAGTTCAATATTATCTTGTCTGCATTCTATGATTTCTGCTTCAGTTTAGCCTCCATGATTTCTAACTGGAATGTACTCAAGGCTAAAGCTTCTATTATTCTTTTTTAGATTAATTAAAAAAAGAAAAGGAGGGAGGTTGCCAAGCAAATGAAAGCAAAAAGAAGCATTCAAGGTTTCTATTTAATTTAAGAACCAACTATTTTTGGGCAATTCAGAAATAGCTATTTTCATGAGACAAGCAATGTCTATGCCAAATACAATTTTTTTTAAGTCTGTTAAGCTGATTCTTCCAATTACTTCCATATTATCCCCTTTCCATCCACTTAACCAGTTAGAAATAACTTTAGCCTAGCTGGGGTCATTACATTCACTCTCTTTTAGCTAAGTAGTGTTGGTCTTCTCTCAATTTAGACTGCAATATACATATATATATATTTTATAATATGTATCTATAAATATATATTAATATAATATATAAATATATAAAATATATATGTAATATATATTTTGAGACCAGTCTCACTCTGTTGCCCAGGCTGGAGTGCAGTGGTACCATTTTGGCTCACTGCAACCTCTGCCTCCTGGGTTCAAGTGATTTTCCTGCCTTAGCCTCCTGAGTAGCTGCAACTAAAGGCATGTGCCACCATGCCTGGCTAATTTTTGTATTTTTAGTAGAAACAGAGTTTCACCATGTTGACCAGGCTGGTCTTGAACTCCTGACCTCAAGTGATTCACCCACCTGGGCCCCCCAAAGTGCTGGGATTATAGGAATGAGCCACCACACCTGGCCCTATATTATATTTTTAAAAAATAAATAGAGTTCTTATTGTAGTTTGAAGAGTTTTAAAAACTATATGTAATTTACATAAGTATTGAACTTATGTTTTTGACATTTGAGAAATCAAATTTTTCCTTCTATTTCTGTTTGTACATAGATCACATTCAGCTGAAGCAAAAATATTTTTTCCTACTTTCTGTATACCTTTTCTATATTACTGACGCTTTCCCATGAACTGATCACTTGAATTGTTTGATAGCAACAAAGCCCAAAATGTAAGCACTTTATGTAGAAAAATTAGATTATATTATTTTGGTTTTTTTCACTGTGTATATGTTTATTTTTTTTAATTTTTAATTTTTGTTAGTATATAGTAGGTATATATATTTACAGGGCACATGAGATGTTTTGATACAAACATGCAATGCATAATAATCACATAATGGAAAGGGGGATCCATCCTCTCAAGCATTTATCCTTTGTGTTATAAACAATTCAATTATACTCTGTTATATTTAAATGTACGATTAAATTATAATTGACTATAGTCACACTGTTGTGCTATGACATACTAGGTCTTATTCATTCATTCTTTTTCTTTGTACCCATTAACCATCTCTACTTCCTTTTGCACCCCCCCATCTTGTTTACTGATTTAAAGCTATTAAATTAATATTTAATCATTTTTTCTTTTTTATCAAACCCCAGACTTGATCTATGGTTTATTGATCTCCATTCCCTATCAGATAGCCATCAAATGCCATAGATTCCTGGAAAGAGCTTCTATTTTTGCTCTGTAGAATTAATTTTCTTCCTGACAATGATAGCAATTGCTGGCCTAGAGAAGTAGTATAGTTGTTAAAAAAGGTTTGCAGTAGTGAACAGCATGAATGCCATAAAATGAACTCTTTTTTT